TTTATTCCACCCCGCCCTTGTCGTTTGAGCCTTTCCCCCTCTGCTAGGGCCTTTCAGGAGACGAAATAAAGCGGGAGGATGTTTGAGCATATGAGCGAACTTTTTTTTTTCTTTTTTTTTTTTTTCTTTTTTTAATTGTGTGTGCGTGTGCGAGTATTTTATTTTGGAATGGAAGCAGAAGGAGGCGAAATTCAAGCGGGGAGGAGTTTACTGGTATTAATTATTATTATTGCTTCAAAGGGGTTCTGGTGTGCGTGAGCGGGAGGAGTGCCGCGCCGTGTTTTTTCTTGTTTTTGTTTTGTTTTCGTTTTTGTGCAATCCCCCTTTCCTGCCACGCATGGATGTGCGCGGGCACGTGGCTGCTGCCTGCCGAGTGCCTCTGTCTGCTCATGTACTCCTTCTCTTCCGTTGCTCTTTTCTTTGACTGCCGCTGCACTGCGTGGCTCCCGGCGCGCGGACACGCCTTAGCTGAGCGAAGAGTGTAGCGGCACCGCAGCGAACATTCGGTGGACCGCCCTTCTTTTGTGTATATCTGTGTGTGTGTTGCCCCCATCGCCGGTATTTGGCAACGGAGAGGCGAGGGCCAAGAAACGGGAGGAGAACAACAAAAAAACGCCGAAAAGAGCAATGAAGACGCAGAGCGACGGCGACGCCGGTGCCTCGCGCGAGGAGGCCCTCTCCCTTGGCAAGGTTGTGAACTTCTCGTGGGAGAATCTGACCTACCGCGTCCCCGTGGAGGACGACGACGGCAACGTCACGTACAAGACGCTGCTCTACAATCTGAGCGGGACCGCCCTCGGTGGGCGTGTCTTGGCAATCATGGGGCCGTCGGGCGCCGGCAAAACGACGCTCATGGGCACCATCACGGGCAAGCTGTACAATGCCAAGGCTAAGTTGGACGGGTGTTGCTTTCTGAACAACACAATCTACTCGCAGCGGTACAAGAAGCTGGTGTCGTACGTCTCACAGGACGATATCGTCATGGGCAAGGAGACTCCGCGCGAGGCGATCAAATTTGCGTGTCGTGTCCGCCTTGGGCTGAGCATGGAGGAGTCGGAGAAACTTGTGGACGAGGTGATTTCACGGCTCCACATCACGGAGTGCCAGCACACCGTCTTGGGCATTCCGGGCATTTTGAAGGGGGTCTCTGGCGGTGAGCGAAAGCGGGCGAACGTGGGGACCGAGCTTGTGACGAATCCCTGCGTCATGCTGCTGGACGAGCCAACCACCGGCCTGGACTCGGTCAACGCCCTGCGCGTTGGAAAAATGCTTCAGGAATTGGCAAGGAGGGACATGCGGACAGTCATCGCAACGGTGCACTCGCCGTCGTCTGATTTGTTTGACGTCTTTGACGACCTGCTTCTTCTCGCAAAGGGCCGTGTCATCTATCATGGCCCCACAGAGGACTCTGTGGCCTACTTTGCCAGCTTGGGCTACCAGGTTCCGCCCCGCACAAACCCCAGTGAGTACTTCATGAACATCTTGCAGCTTCCAGAGGAGGAACTGTCCCAGCTGTGGGTGGCGTGGGAAGACTACGTCATGTCACCCGCGGCAAACAACAACCACTGTCTGATGGTGGTGCAGGGCCCCATTACGCGCCAGGATGAGTTCCTGGAGAGCCAGCTGAAAGTGAAGAAGTCCAGCTTTGCCGTGCAGTTTTTTGAGCTTTGGAAACGCTCTTTGCGCATGTTTTGCCGTGACCCGGCCGCCTTTTTTGGTCGTTCATTCCAGACACTTTTCTTTTCGGTGTTTCTGGGACTTTTTTACTTCAATTTGAAGCTGAACCAGCAGGGTGTGCAGGATCGTGCAGGAGCGCTTTACATAACATTGATAAATAACTTCTTTGGGGCGTGTATGCATGGTATCTCTGCCTATCCTCCCGAGCGAGCCGTGTTTCTGCAGGAGCAGGCCAATGATTCCTACAATGCGGCTGTGTACTTTTTTGCCAAGTATCTTGCCGAAATCCCGTTTCAGATGTTATTCCCAACGATCTTTGACCTGATCACATATTTTATGATGCATCTTTACCGCTCTCCCGGGGCATTCTTTGTGAACTGGTTCATCTTGGTGCTGCTCGCGACCTTCGGGTACTCGTTTGGGTTGATGTTTGCCACCTTCTTCGAGTCTTCCACGACGGCCTTTGCGATTGTGCCGGTAATTTTTCTACCGCTGCTGGTTGTGGCCGGGCTGTTTGCCAACACCCAACGACTGGTTCCCTACTGGGTTTGGCTGAACTATCTCTCGTTCCCCCGCCACGCGTACCTCGGCGTCTTCGTCAACGAGTTCCAGAGGCTGCACGTCATCTGCGACCCCGTCACGCCTCATTGCACGTACCCCAATGGCGAGGCCGTCATTGAACAGTTTGGCTTTGAGAACTGGCAGCCCTGGCGTTCGATGGTGGCACTGATTGCGTACCAGTTGGGACTTGCCGTGATCGGCTGCATCTCGCTATACGTCCAGGGCATGAGGCGCCGGGGAAAGCTGGCCTTCAAGAAGAATCTTGGCTCTCGTGTGGCTTCACCTCGTGCGATTGCCTCCGCGCGGAGCAACGATGAGCTGTCCGATTCTGACGCGACACCGATGGACGAAATTCCAACGCCCTCCGTCGCCTACACAGACACGGTGCCTCTCGACAAGGATGACCCGCTGCACCCTGGGGGCGGCGGCGCCAGGGGGATGCTCACCACCCCCATCGTCACGCCCAAAGCGGACACGAGAGGACAGTCGTAATGTAGTAATAATCTAAGTGTAGGAAGCGTATATGTGAACGTAGTACCTATTGGCTTCGCTGTTTACTTTTATTTAATTTCTCTGAGAACGTTCGTTTTTACTGCTGGTGCCTTCTTTCTTCTTTTATTTTGCACGGTGTGTTTCCCTCATTCTTCCCGGTTGGTGCACCAGGCTGCCGTTTCTGTTCTGTTTGCGTCTGTCCCCATTCTGATCCTTTCTCCCTTTACCCCACTTTGGCGCTGATCAGGGGAGTTCTTTTTTTACGGGCATGATGAAGTCACTGAGGTGGGACGCCGCGGGCCGTGGGCGTCAGCGCAAAGATCGCAGCGCCTTTTGGGTTGCCCCACCGCAGCGCTACGTGATCAACCGGCACAGTCCCAAGGCGGTGCCGCACAGTCTTTCCGTCGTTGTTGTGGTTGATCCCCACATGGTGGAGCCGACGGCATTTCTCCAGCCCATAGCGCCACTTGCGAACGACAAGAGAAATTGTGGGGCGGCAGGGAATGGTGATGCGATCTCCGCCGAGCCGGACTCCGCGAGTGATCAGGTCGTCCCGTCGTTCTTTAGGCTGGACGTCTACGTTTGGGACGATACAACCTTGCGGGAGATTTTGGAGGAGGTGCTGGCGTCGAGCGCGGCGGCCCAACAGGTGTTGCTGCCCAGCGATGCCCCGGCCACGGCGACGGCTGAGGTGGTGGGAGAAGCAAGCAGGCCGCCGGCGTCCACTGGCGCGGAGAAGGCAGAAAAGAGAGGAGGACGTGACGGTGGTGGCGATGATGGTGGTAACGGTAATTTGAAGGATGATGATGATGACGGTGCATCGGTGGAGCTTGATGATGGGGATGATTCTGTTGGCGGGGATGCGGCAGACGAGGAGCCGGCCTCCAAACGTGAACGCACAGAAGGTGAGAAGAAGCAGAGGGACGAGACGCGAAAGGGTGCCCCGTCGGCCGCCAAGAGGGCCCAGCCGAGGGATAGGCGGCCGCCACCGACGCCCGCTGCCAATGTGCGTCTTTCCCATGTGTTTGTTGGCAGTGACAAGAAGCCGCAGGTGAGAGACGTAGCGCTCCTACGCGTCGACAGGCCTGTTTTCCACGCGGGAGACTACACCACCATGCAGGAAATGCGGACTTTCAAAACGGGAGGGCGAGGATGGAAGAATGGGGATCTTTTGGTGCTATCGCCCACCACACGACACTACAGGGCCACACCGATGTGAGTTGTTGGCTATGTGAGAGGTAGCAGCGGCAATAGGAAGAGTAGGGGAGGCATAAACGAAAGGGACAGAACTTGTTGTGTATGCATGCTTCTGTGTCTGCGCCTATGTGCGCGTGTGCAGACAGCAGTGGCACCGTATTCGCTGTGTCTCACTTCATTTTTTGCACGCATTTTTTATTATGCGATGGGTGGCGTTTGGTGTATCCACGTGTCATCTTATCTTTCCTTGTGTTCTGCGTTTATCCTTGTTGAGTGGTGCGGCCTCTTTCTCTGTGTTTGCGCAAGAAGCCATGTCGGTTCCAAGCAAGAAGTGAAATTCCACCTGCTGCCGGTGGAGAAGAGGGTTATTGTGGAGCATCTCCATATAATTTTGTATACATGGAGGGTGAGGGATGATGGTTGCCGACGCATGGCTGCGGGGTTGTCGCCAACTGTCTCTTCCTTCTACTCGTGTTTTGTTGCTTCCCACACCACCGTAGAAGAAAGATTATAAATAAGCACAGACATATATATATATATATATATATATCCACACGGATCCATTGAATTGCTTGCCTGTTTCGTTGTTTGTTTGTTTGTTCAGTTCTCGCCACTCGCACTTTGAGATTGTGTTTTTGTGTGTGGAAGGAGCGGCGGAAATGGAGGAGCAAGTGGACTTGGAGAAGGCGCTGGCTGTGGCCATCAAGGCGGCGCAGAGTGCCGGAAACATCATGTTGGAGTTCTATCAGCTTCGCCGGGAGGACACTGCGGCGAAGATGATGCGTTTACTTAAGGAGGGCGGTTCCCACACGACCGGCGAGCTTGCTGCTTCACCTAAACCAACACCGGTGGATCTTTTGGACATCAAAACGAAGTCTTCCAGTACGGATCTCGTCACGCACTACGACAAACTTTGCGACGAGACTATAATGAAGATCCTGCAGCGCTTCAACGCGAAGGTGGAAGATGAGAAGCGGAATGAGCCGTCTGAAGCGTTTTCTTTTCAGTTCATAACGGAGGAACTCACTCCCGATACGCCCTTGACCGATGAACCGACGTGGATTGTTGACCCTATTGACGGCACCATGTCGTTTGTTCATGGGGGGTGCGACTGCTGCATCAGCATTGGTCTAGCTATAAAGAAACAGACGGTGCTTGCAGTTGTGTACTGTCCGTTTCTTTCGATTGTGCAGCATTCGGTGGAGGATTTACGTTCTACGAGTGCCGTTGCAGGGGAGTTGTACACCGCAATCCGGGGAAAGGGAACATTCCTTAATGGGCAACCTATTCGTGTCTCTGCAGATGCCTTGCCAAATACGGCTTTGGTGGCATTTAATTACCCAATGGGTGCCAGACTTTCCGCGGCGGAGATACCGAGCGACAGCGCCCAGGTGGGTGTTTTGAAGCGGCAAAAGCATCGGAAAGTTGTTGAGGCCGCTGGGCATATTCGTGAGCAGCTTGCCATGCATCCTGTACAGGGCATTCGCAGTTATGGTTCTTGTGCCCTCATTCTCGCGCAGGTTGCCGCGGGACGTATAGACCTTTACATGGAGCCTGCTGGCATGGTGTGGGATGTGTGTGCAGGAAGTCTTTTGATCACCGAAGCGGGGGGTGTTGTAAAAAACATGTGGGGTGGTGACTTTGGACTGGAGGGCACCACCACGATCATTGCAGCGGCGAACGAGACACTCGCCGATTACGGAATCCAACTCTGTACACAGGTAAATTATGGAGATTACTGGAAAAAGTAGAGCTAGAGGAGGAGGAGTGGGAATGAAATGAATACGGTAAATGTAAGCAGAAAAGATGGAAACGTCAAACATATATATATATATATATATATATATGTTGGGAGGCCCCCCACCCACCCACAGGCCCAAAAAAAAAAACTTTGGGTCCTTTTTATTTCTCTTTTGCATTGAAGTACGATGGGGACTTTCTCCCTGCTCATTTCTCCATTCATCCTTTTCTTTTTCTTTGAGCCATAGTCTGTCAAATATTGATACGTTTTAGGAAAAAACCCCTCTTTCTTTTTTTTTTTTTTTTCTCTCTTTCTATGTTCCTGTTGATTCTTTTTTGCTGAACAAAGCACACACACACACACACACACACACACACACGACGTCTCTCTCTCTCTCTTCAAAAAGAGGAAAAAATGGAGGGCCAGTGGAATCTCAAAGGGATTTTTAGGAACCGCAACGTGGTTCTCGTCATTGCATTTTGTTTTGTGGACGGCGCCTGCTTTAGTGTTTGGATGGCGCAACTTTTCCCTGTCTTTGTAAACCGAATTGGAGGAGATGAGGCTGTCGGTTGGTCTGCTGCTGCGTCTGGTATGGCACAAATTGTGGGTGCTGCTTTTGCAGGGTACGTGGGGGATAAAATTCCGCGCAAAGAATGCATTCGGGTTGCGGCTTTTTGTGGTGTTATGGCCGTTGCGGCAACGTTGGTGGCGATTAACCTCCTGGTGATGCCGGCGATTTACATTACGCAGGCCGTATGGGGTGTGTATTTGGGTGTGGCCTCTACGAGCATAGAAGCCCTCTTTGCCGACAGTGTCCTCTCTGGGCATCGTGCGTTTATTTACAACTTTAAATGGATTGTACAGACGGTGTGTTACTGCGTCGGTTACGTGGTGGCGCTGGTGATGCTGCTGCAAATGGGAAATGATTGGTCGATGGATAGCATCAAGTTTGTCATGACGGTTGGGCTGGCGGCGCATCCTCTGGCGCATTTTATTCTTCTCTTTATGCGGGACGAGGACGCATTGCAGGACGGCGAGGCCGATGCATATTTTATTGCAACGGTGAAGGTTGGGGAGGAGCAAAAGCACACAGAGGAGGAAGACCGGAAAACGGGGGCGTTGTCAGATCTTCCAGAAGCTCCGCTACTCAACGAGGGATATGTAGCGGATGAGGATTCCAAGGCGGCAACAATTTCTATTTGGCGGGGTGGCCCCCACAATGTGAAGCCTCAGCGTGCAAGGGAAATAAAGCCACCTTTCGAGCAAAGGGAAACGGAGAAGGAGACGGAAGAAAGCAATGTAATTTATGACGGCTCTCGCCATGTGGATGAAGAGGAGACGGGTGCAAGTTGCTTTAATGGTTTTTGCTCATCATTTCATTGTTCTTTAAGCGCAGTGCCGTACTTGGTGTGTATGGCGGACTTCTGGATGGCAGTTGGCTCCGGTATGACCGTGCAATATATGACTCTCTTTCTCGTGAATGACTTACACATGGCACCCACGTGGTTAATGTCTTCATACATCGCCATCTCGTTTGGTGCCGCACTTTGTTCTACCTTACTTCGTTATGTGGGCGATCACTACGTTGGTCGGCTACCCGCCGTCATTACGGTGCGTCTCATAGGCACAACACTTCTATTATTGCTGGCGTTATTGGATGGCCCCAAAACTGGCTTGGGTGTTGTTATTGCCCTCGTCATCACTCGCAGTGCACTGATGAACAGCCCCGTTGGCGTCACCCGCAGCGTCATCATGGACTGCGTGCCAAAGTCCAGCCGTGCCAAATGGTCCGCCTTTGAGAGCTTTACATCCTTCACATGGGCAGGGAGCGCTGTGATTGGCGGATACATTGCCGATACCAAAGGCTACCAGTTTACGTTTTTCACCACATCCATGCTCCACTATGTTGGTATATGTGTACTCGTCCCGGCTGCCATCGTGTCCCAAAACATGGAGCGTCACCTCCGTCAATTGAAGCGAGCAGAGCGTAATGCTGACTGATCTAAAGATGCCTCTCACCCCTACCCCCTTCTGCCTTTCTTTCTTTTTTTTTTTTTCTTGTTATTATAATTTCTTTATGCAAGCGTGTGTACTGCTTTTTTTTTCCCCCCTCTCACGAAACATAGAAAGAAAAAAAAAGAAAGAGGTTGCTTAATGCGGTTACAACGACGCGTGAGGTGGAGGCGGTAGCGTGCTCTTCTTATTCTCTTTTTTTTTTTTGTTGTTTTTGCGAGAATGTTGTGGGGATTTTATAATCCTATCTTTTCTGTTGGGAAACGCAACCAGAAGGAAAATATCAACGGAATCACAGGCGGGGATGGGAGGGAGAGAGGAAGGCGAAACCCGCCACGGCGCCGCTGACCAAAGCCCCATCACTGACGCGTGCAAGCGACCCTCCCGTTTCTTTTGTTTGTTTGTTTTGGTTTTTTTCTCCTCTCGCAAGTTTCCCCCTCCTAAAAAAAAATTATAATAATTGACGTGTTTGTGGTCCGATTTTAAGTCAAGCGTGCGTGAAGTATGAGCGAAGATGCCCGTGGCAGCAGCCATGCGCAAAGCACCTTCCGTGGTGACTGGGAGGCGCTGCATAACCCCAATGTCCGGCGTGTTTTAATTTTCTGCTTTGCCAACGGGGCGTGTTTCTCACTGTGGCTCTCACAGGTGTTTCAGGTCCTTATCAGCCGCACCTTTGGTGATACCACCGTCGGTTGGTTGTCGGCTACCTCTTGTACGGCGCAGGTGGTGGGGGCAGTCATTGCTGGCCTTTCCGATGAATTGCCGCGGCAGACGATTATTCGGCTTGGCGCATTCAGCGGCATTACGGCTGCAGCGCTCTCCATTTATGCCTTATCTGTGCTTCAGGTACACATCTTCTTTTTTGCCTTCGTTCTGTGGGGAATGTTCTCTGGGATGGTCTCCACGGGAGTCGAGGTGCTGTTTGCTGACAGCGTAGAAACTGGCCGGCGTGACTTTGTGTACAATCTGAAGTGGGCCAACCAGACATTGTGTGACTGCATTGGTTCCGCCACTTCCCTTTTGATGCTGGTTAAACTCGGCAATGAGTGGAAGTTGAGTAGCATGAAGGTTCTTGTTTACACGGGTGTCTCGTTGCATCCTATCGCCCAATTGTTACTCTTCACGCTGAAGGACAAGTATGTGTTGGATGAAAGTACGGGTGGCCACGTGCCGCAGTGTGCCGTTGTTGTCGAAGACACAGATGCCCCAGATCTTACTACGAAACCGAAATTATTACCCGAGGCGAGCGAATCAATTATGGATTCCAAAGAAAGTTTGGAGTCACTGAGGCAGCCCCTTGTAAGCGAAAACGGGATGAAGAGCGAGGCCCTGTCGTCAGTTCCTGTGATGTCAAGGAGTGTGACATCGGCTGGGGCTGTGGTATTGCAGCATGAGGCCGTCATTGCTCAGCTAAAAATGCGGAGTGCACAAAAATATCACGAGTATATTGAGGCTCAGGAAAGGCGAAACCCTGCGGCACGACTGGTGGCAGCGGTGTGGCACCATGCAACTAAGTTGTGTGAGTGGTCGACTGTGCCATATTTGCTGTGTCTCTCCGATTTTTTTGTGGCTTTTGGTTCTGGCATGACGATGCGATATATCCCGCTTTTCTTCGTGAACGATTATCATATGACGCCAGTTCTTCTTCTGAGTGCATCCATTGTCTCCTCCATCACCACCGCCACGTTATCGTTCCTGGTTCGGTATATGGGTGAGCGTTTTGTTAGTCGTGTTGCTGCCGCGTTTTCTGCACGTTTTATAGGGGCGACATTACTCCTGTTGATGGGGGTAACACATCTCCATCTGTCCATTTTGGTCCCGATTTTTGTCCTTCGCAGTGCACTGATGAACTGCACCATTGGAGTCACCCGCAGCGTCATCATGGACTGCGTGCCAAAGTCCAGCCGTGCCAAATGGTCCGCCTTTGAGAGCTTTACATCCTTCACATGGGCAGGGACCGCTGTGATTGGCGGATACATTGCCGATGCCAAAGGCTACCAGTTTACGTTTTTCATCACATCCATGCTCCACTATGTTGGTATATGTGTACTCGTCCCGGCGATGTACGGTGTCCGCGAGGTGGAGCGGGCCAAGCGAGCGCGTTGGCGGAGTGAAAAAGCCGAAGAAAAGGAGCGGAAGAAATCCTTACGTCGTCTGAGGTCCACTGGCACTTCCTCGTTGTTGGCTGCAGCGGAAGGACGTGAAGAAAAGGATCAGTTACTGGGGAGGGACCGTGCATCACTGCAGTGATGTTTGCTTTTTTTTTATTGCTGTTGTTGTTGTTGTTGTTTTAGATTTATTTAATTATTTTTGTGTGTGTGGGTGCATCTTTCTCTCCTTCTCTCTCTCTTTTTTTTTTTTTTTTTTTTCATGATTATCACAATTAGCGACTGTTTTTTTATTGTATTTGAGTGTCTTTGTTTTTTTGCTTTTTACTGCTGCTGCTGCTGCTGCTGCTGAGAATATTATCGATTGTAGTAATGAAAACTGTGCGAAGGCAATAATCGCGAGGAGAGCTGGCTAACGCCATGAATATGCATCCATACTGATAAAGCGGAATGCACACTTCATTACGACACTTTTCTACCGTATGGATTTTTTGAAAAGAACACGACTATTAAAAGGAGGGGGTGGGAGACCAGGGGAACACCGATAGCGGCAATATAATTATTTTATTTATATTTGTTTTACTTTCACCCATCTTCCCCTTCTTTTGTGATTCCCACCACGCAGTGGGGTGTTGTGTCTGGTGGTGGACCCCAAAAGTCTGCCACTTCGTAAGGAATAAACACCATATATATATATATAACTATATTTACATGTATCCCATCCGAATAGAGTGAGCGGGCCACAATTGAGGCCAACGGATGATACATGTATGTATGTATGTACTTACTTGGTGGTAAACTTTGGGGGTATGGGGTGAATCCCCACTCTTATTCCGTCCATCCCTTTCTTATTCCTATCTCGTTTGTTTTCTGTTGTTGAGAAACTGCAGAGTTCGGCCAGCGGCCCAGAAGATTATTTTTTATTTTATTTTTTTTTATTTGTTGGGAGGGGGTTGTTCTTTCCTGACTGTGATGCATTCCCATCCATGGTACTTCCCTGCATTTCTCTTTTTCCCCCCCCTTTACTCCCTCTCTCATTTTTCCTTGTGTATTTATGAACATGTGTGGTGGTTGTTGTTTATTTTTTGACTCTACGCAATGTCACCTTTGTGGAAGATATAAATTTGCGCATATCCATGAAGTTGCATACGTATATTTATATATTTATATATATATTTATATATTTATTTATTTATTTATATGCGTATGCATTTTTGAAGAGGAACTTCTATTGCTGTTTTGTTTTTGTATGTATATTTCTTGGTTACCGTTGATGCTTATAGAAATAGTGATAATGATAATACGGATGCTTCTCAGCGGTACCTTTACGTGGAGAGAAGGCAGTCCTTTTGTTTTCCCTTCTTATCTATGGATTGTTTTTTATTTATTATTATTATTGATGTGTTATTTTGTTGGTTCTCGGCAATGATGGATTAATAAGACACCGCACGTGCCCGAGGCGGATGGCTAACTGCGTATTTGTGTGTCTCTGTGTGTGTGTGTGTGTTTTGCGCCCTCCGCTGCGAATTCCTCTTTGGAGGACGCGGGAGGGAGGCGTGATCTGCGATGGTGGGGTGGGGGGCGTGCAGGCTATCGGATTCATTTGGGAAAATAAGAGGAAGTAGAAAAAAAAAAGAAATTATGTTACGGACGATGACGTGATGTGAAGTGTTAAGTGCATGCGGCGGTTTCTCCAATAGATTTTGGTATTATTTGCTTCGGCGCGGTGTTTCTTGGCAAATGTTCCTTTTTTTTTTTTTTTTCTCCGTTTTTGTTTTTTATTTTGTTTTTCTGTTATTTTTGTTTTCCCGTGGAAAAGGTGGTGTAATTTGTGTTTTCGCCGGTGTTTTTTTTTTTGCCACTCGCCAGTGGGACGTCATCCACACCGGGAGGAATTCGTCTGTGGGAAGGGGAAGTGGGGGACCGCATGGTGCAGTGCGTCCCTCACTGCGGTGGCTCTGCCGTGTCATCGACGCCGGCGGGATCCGTTTCTTCTCCCGTGGACGCTGGTGACGCGACGCGTGATTACATCGCACTGGCGGTGCCGCTCCTTCACGTTCTGCAGCAGCGACAGACGACGCAGGCACTCGCGGTGGCGCGAGAAATAACACGGCGGTGGGGAGAAAAAGAAGGGCCAGTAGCCGATTTGCTGAGGTTTTTGCAGAACTATGAAGATCTACAGCAGCAGGAAGAGGAAGTGGAAGGAGAAGAGAGTGATGACGATGATGATGATGATGATGGCTCTTCGAGTAGTACTGCCTCTAGTGATGCTGTCATTAGTAGTTGTAGCACCGATGATGACGATGACGCGGGTTCCGTGGAGAATAGTGCGGCGGAGGGCGGAGACGTAACGCAGACACTACGACAAATTCTAGCGAGGCTTCCGCCTTGTGACGCTGCAGGAACGTCAATAAGTGCGGGATTGAATGCAACGCCGGTGGTGAATGAGACCGCCGAGGAGAGTGAAACGGAGGAAGAAAGGCGCATCTTCAATGATATTGCTGGGGCCGTGGAACGTGAGATGAAGCGGCTGGCGATTATAAGGAAGCACCGCTGACCGAAGAGGACATCCATTGAAGGTGATGGAAAGAAGAAGTTGCGCTCGTGTGATGGGCCATGCGGTGCGGCCCAGTTCTCTCTGCAAACATCCTTTTTTTTTTTTGCATGTGTATCTGTGTGTGTATTTTTATTTTAGCGGAGGCGTTTTTTGGGCTAATGGTGGGCATACGACAACACCAGTGGGGCGATGCACGACCGTCGCAGATTGGATGGATTGAGACAGTCACAAGTCGCATGCATAATTCCTTTGTAATTATCCCCGTCTTCTTCTCTCTTTCTTCTTCTTATTATTATTATTTGCTTCTGCTTGTCTACATACAAGAGATTAATGCGACGCACATGGATAAAGTTAGTCATCAAGACAGCGAATAACGGCAACGCCGCCGCTGCCGTTGCTACAGGGGCAACTCGCCCAGTCACAGTCATGTTGTCTTTGCAGTCACAACGTTGCATACGTGAAATCATGGTGCAACAGGTGCTGCTTTCCTCGAAGCCGCTCACGTCAAATGAATTTGTGGAACTGGTCAAGCGAAAATACCATGAGGCAAAGGAGACCGTCCAAACGACATCCATGTCATCTCAAGAAGGGGAGTGCAGGAAGGCTACAGAGGCACCGGTGGTGGCGAGTGTGGGAGACGATGACGTGGAGAAGGAGGGAGAGGCTTTAACAGACACTCCTGTTGAGTATCTTCGAGGGTTTCTAATGTCTGTATCAACTGGGCCGGCTAACGTGTTGCCCACACAGGATGGAATTTCTCCCTGTCCCGTTGAGTCCACCGTGCGCTTAATACTAGCCATCGACTCACAGTTTCGTGTCTCCCCGGCGGGATATGTGTGCTATCCCAATTTGCCGTCGCTGATTCTTGCTTCGACGGATGTGGAGCAGAAGGAGAAATGGCTGCACTTGGGACGCCGACTTGTGCGGGCGGAGGAAGCGAGGCATTGCTTCAGTGGAAGTGACCATGGTGCTATGGCAGCAACAAGAGGAAACTCACGTGTGCCGTCTCGGTGGAGTTACATGCTGAGCCTGTGGTTCATGTTGGATGCCTTCACAGAGACGGAGGATATTGTGGATGAAAAGGACGCGGCAACCGGGAGAAACGGCACGCATGAAGAAATGACAATTTCGATGCGTCTCATGGCACAATGGGTGAATGCATTCGATGAGCGTGAGTTGCCACCGCTTCTTCTTCGAGAGTTGTTAACAGCGGAGGGGCGAAGTATTTCAAGATCGCCGTCTGTATCCGCCCCGCAGGAACTGCGGGATTCGGTGGAGGGTAAAGAAATTCTTCGGCGTTGGTGCTTTGAGGCGAGGGAGGGGTTTCTGAGCAGCATGCTTCTGAATGCACCGCAACTCACCCAATCTCAGCCGATGCTTCTTCAACAAGTGAACGAGCAGTTGGGGTATTTTTTCCTTTTTCTTATTGGCGCCCCCATTTCACTGGGGCGGATGTCGGCGCTGATCCAGTGGGCGAGTCTGCCATTTGCCTCACAATATCGCTCTCTGCTGCACTTCCTCCTCATTTACACCGGCAACCCCGCCGTGGCACAAATGGAGCGAAATGGGAAGCGGCGTCGCGAGGTTCTGAGGCGGTGGACGGATTTGTTGCGATCACGTTTACAGGAGGATCGGGGCCGTCACCGGCACCCACGGCAAATAGGAGGACGTCACTTACTTTCGGGTCGTTACGCCTCGCAGGAGCATATGGAAGAGACGGCAGACGTGGACGCTCTCCCAGCTTCTTCGGAAAGCAACGATGCGAGGGACATCTCGCATGGCAAGGCGTCGTGGGCAGGACAGATATCCAGCGAACAATATGCGTTGTGGATGCAGAGCAGCAGCGGCCCGATGGTTAACCCGAAATTGATGGATGTTTGTCGTTGTCTCTTTTTGACTCCCGAGGAGATGACACCGCTTGATGTGACAACGCTGACCCCATCTGAGGTGCTGGAGAGTTTTACCGCGAAGAAATGCGCCGAGAATGACGTTGTGGTGTTCTCAGTATTACCGTATGCTTTTGAACGCCGTATCTGCCGTGTCATTCGTGTATGGTGGGCCCTTGAAGGACAGTACACGACGGAAGTCAAGCCGAGTGATGCCATTGCCGTTATCAGCGTGCAGCGGCTCTGTCAACTGTGTCTGTGGGAGCATGAGTACGGGGCTGCCGCGGCAAGCAGGATGATGCTGCATTATTTAAGATCGGTCATAACGGGAGAAACAACCGTGCAGTTAGTGCCACCCTCCTCCGTGTCTAAAAGCATGACGCCCACGTCAGTGAAAGATGTGGGGTGTTGGTTGGTTGTGCTTCGCTCCACCGCGTAAAGGGCGATAACGAAGAAAAACATAAAGAAAAACGATAAAACAGAGCGAGGAGGATGACGGGAAAAGAAAAGAAAAATTTGGTGGGGCAGAATTTTGAGGTGGGAGAGAGGAGCAAAAAAAAAAAAAGAAGAAAAAAAAGGATTTTTTTCCTTTTTTAGCTGCTGGTTGTAATGTGTGCTATGGCCGAACGTTACATATGATTTTCTTCATTAATGTGCCCTTTTTTTTTTTTTTTTTTGTGTGTGTGTGTCATTCTTGTTGAGTGTACATCCGTGTGCCATGTTTTGATGTTGCTGTTGCCCTCCATCTTATTATCTACAGGGCCGCAATTCTTGTCTATAATTAGATGCCACGTGAGGTTCAGGTGGAAGTGGAGGAGGATGTGAGTGAAACCCCACAAACGGTACCGGCTGAAGCCCCGCAGTTTGGCCTCTTACCAAGCCTTGTACTGTCAGGAATGTACATCGGCACAAGCATCATGCTTTTTCTTACGATAAGGCACAGTAAAGTTCTTGAAAAGCGGGGGATTTTATCGTACGATAGCACATCCATTGTGATGTCGATTGAGGTGGCGAAGACCATTGCGTCCGTGATGCTCCGGTATGCGTTGAGTGGTGAGTTCCTGGTATTTAGCGTCACGTTTGGGCCGAGACGTGGAGAGTTGTGGCGGATGAGTTGGGCCTACGCCATACCCGCCTTTCTCTATGCGCTTTACAACAATCTGATGTACCTGAACCTTCGTCTGTTTGACCCGGGGACGCTGCAGTTATTCATGCAGACCCGCATTCTCTTTACAGGATGTCTTTTTGTGTTTTTACTCAAGCGGGTCCTTTCGATCCGGCAGTGGGCAGCGCTTGCGATTTTGACACTCGGTCTTGTCATCAAGTATATCTCACCCACCGTGATGCAGGCGGTGGATGTGCGTATATTGGCCATGCTGCTGCAGGCATTTCTTTCATCCCTCGCCGGCGTGTACAACGAGGTTGCCTTAAAGCGGGAGGCCCACATAAGTATACATCTGCAGAATTTCTTTATGTATTTGTATGGCATTCTATTTAATTTGCTTCTGGGTCTCATGATTGCCCCGCAGGAGTATCTTAAAGACAGTATCTTTCGTCACCCACACATTATTTTCCTCCTTATTATTTTGTCTGGAACGTTGAATGGTCTCACCACTGCCTTTATTCTGAAATTTATCAACGTCATTGTGAAGGCATTTGCCTCGGCCGTAGAAGTGATCCTTATGGCCGTTTTGGCAGCGGTAATCCTTGGGGAACCAATCACGCAACAAGATTTCATGGCTGGAATTTTGGTTATGTGCTCTGTGTATCTTTACTACACAAACGGCTGCGGTAGCGATGCGCCAACTAAATCGAGGTAAAAGAAGGAAGAGAAGGGAATTGGAATATCTTCTGCTGTTGGGAACGTGCATTGGCCTATGCATTTTACCTTTATCCATGTGTGTTTTGTTTTTTTGTCCATGTGTTCCAGCGACGTCAAGCTCCTCAAAGACATTGAACATGAGGCACTGCAACTGTGTGTGCGTGTGTGCCAATCTTCCGACGTTGCTGGGAGAGGGAACGGTGAGAGAAGAGGCATGGCAGGTGTCATGGGCAACGTCACCCTGAACTTTTTCTATTTTCTCCCTGTGCAGAAAAAGACCTCTTTCCCTTTCTTCTTTTTTCCCCTAACCCACCCACCCTCCCTTCTTTCCGTGTATATCACCAGGCGACGAAAGGAAGAAGGAAAAAGGAGGAGGAGCATGCAGCCAATAGGTGTACGTCGTATACGTTCCAGTTCCACCGACCATCGGCGATCGAGCAGTGATGCCGGTGTGGGCGGCGGTATCGCCGGTGGCACTGCAGCCGGAAACTCTACGCAACAGCGGCGCACGTATGATGTTGACATGACAAGCCTTGAGAAACACCGTCGTCTTTTTGCCATGGAGAGGGAGCTGCAGCGCTGGAAGGAAAAGGCAGAGGTGAGCACACGGGACGCCAAATTACGTGAACAGGAGCTTTTCCGCGTCAAGTCCGAGCACGCAGCGGTGCGGCAGCGGCAGGAGCACATCATACGCGACTTGTTAGAGAAGCAGAAAGGCTTTGCAGAGGAAATGCAAAAGAGCCGTCATGAGATGGAACTTCTTCGTAAGGACGCAGCGGCGGATAATTCGGCACTTGTCGCTGCACAAGAGGCACAGCTGCAGCTGCAAAGGGAATTGGAGGCAAGTCAAAGCCGTGAGGCCGAGGCCACAGGAGAGCTGTCAGTCGTCGTGGAGAAGCTCGCCAAGGCAGACACATATATTCGGACACTATCCGACGAGGCGGTGGCGTATCAGCTAGAAATTCAACGGTTGCAGGAGCAGCTTGACGCAGCAGGAGAAGAATTACAGAAGAAAAACAAGGAGAGAGAGGCGGAAGAGAAATTACGCACATCTGAGGAGTTGGCTCGCAGGCGAAAAGTCACCCGGGATTTATGGACAGAGCTGGTGAATGCGGCACTTGAGTGTGCCGATAACTGCGACAGTGTGAGCCGTGAGTGCGATGAATTCATTGATGTCATCAAGGAGGAACAGCAACGCGTGGGCCAGAGGCAAAATATTGTTCGTGATGGTGGCAGTGAAAAGTTCATGGTGACGATGCCGGCAGCGAAAACTCACCCGCAAGCCCATGTGACATTTGTGTCCTGTAAACCCACCGGGGAGGAACTGGAACGCCTCTTGCAGGTGTCCATTTCATCCCAACAGGCGGGGGAGCGGGATGGCGACAAAATGGACGATGCCGTTATTTGGGAGGGCACGACCCGTGTGATTGCTCGGTTGCTGCGTGGCATGCAGTTGGCGTTGCGTGAGACAAGGGACGATGTTCTTGTCGCTGGTCGTGCCTACGCGGAGTTGTGTCGCGCAGGTCGCAGCATGGCGGAGGACTTGGCAGAACTTCAGGCTGCATGCGCCAAGGAGCGTAGTACTGTTGTCGCGCTGGAAGAACGGCTGGAGCACACACAAGAAACCCTTCGTATCGAAAAGGAGCGTGCGAATGGTCTGCAAGCTTCACTGGACGAAACCGCCGACATTATGGCGGAGGCGGCGGCACTGGCGGAGGAGCGCACCTCGCGAATGGAAAAATTGCTTCGCGAGAACAACGCCTTGGAGGAGGCACTTCAGACGCAGAGGAAGTCCCTTCGGGAGCGGGATGACGCCATCGCCGCGGTTGAGCTTAAGTTACGGACGTTGCAGGATACCATGCGGCGAGAAAAGAATGAGTGGTACTCCATGCATGAGGAGCTGCACCGCACGAAACTTGCACTCAAGACGACGCTGGAGGAGCGTGACACGGCGAGGTCGCAACTGCATGAACTGGAACAAAACCTACAAGCGTTGAAGGAAGAGTCCCAACAGTGTGATGTGAATTGCCGGTACTTGCGCAAATGCGTTGAGGAGTTGCAAGGACAACTGGCGCAGGTGAAAAAGGATAGAGATCTCCTACGTGAGACGAAGGACTCTGTCGAAGTGGAAAGGCGACGACTGCTGACCCAAATAGATTGTTTGAAGCGTAGTGGTAACACTGCTGCATGCGTTACCGATGCTGCTCCTGCGAGTAGAGGCAATGGTGTTGGTGAGGTCTACTCCAGTGTTTTGTTTTCCCCAACCGTGCAGCGGTGGAAGGTGCCGCATGGAGGAAAAGATATGGAGACGTCAGGTGAGGACCGTCACGATGCTGGGCCGCTGCTGCAGTCTTCTGAGAGAAAAGAGCCGATGGATAAGGTGCGGTGGTGGGAAGCGAAACTGCAGGCAATTACATCATCCATGTCATCAACCACGCCTCTTGTTGCCACGCCGTCGGCATGCCGAAAGGATGAGAAGAGCGGGTTGACGGACAACTTGCAGTTACTCGAGACAAATAGCGCAACGCTCGCCTCATTGGCGTACGGAAACTCACCACCCTCACAGAAACTCAAGGACAATAGCGTTCCCATTTAATACGGGAGGGATCGTCCCGTGTTTGTGTGCGTTTCTCTGTGTGTCTGGAGACGGAAGACAAAGAATTGGGAAGTATTTGGGAGGGACATTCAATTTTTACCTTTATTCACTTCTCCCACCACCACCACCACCAGCAACAGCACTCCACCACCTTATTTTGACCTTCAATGCCAAGTTTTTTTTTTTAGGGGGGTACAACTTCATGATGTTACTCGTTTCAATCCCTCTCCAGAATTTATTCTTGAAGTTGTTTGCTGAATGGGATGGTAGTGGTTTATTCGCTTCTGCTCCTTCTCAGTACCTTTTTGGTTTCTACCCCTTTCTCTTTCTCTCTCTCTCTCTCTCTGCGTGTGTGTGTGTGTGGCTGCGGCTGCTGCAGGGCAGGAAAAGAAGGAGAGAACGGGAAGGTGTCGGGCCCGAGCCCCGCAGCCCCTCCACTCACGCACCGATTGTGTCATATGGACGTCATTCTCACAACATCGCCCCTGCTGGTTTCTTCGTCCCCACTCAAGGGTGGGGCGTCAAGTGTTTTCACGCAGGTGCCGCAGCCCTGGTCCCTTCTTGCTCATCACCGCAACTCGCGCTATCCGCACCCTCAAGGGAAAGCGGAAATGTCATCAACGTCCACTTGCGGTGCGGCGGAAGGAATGTCTGAGAGAGGCGGTTTTGGCGCCTCCGCCGGGACGATCTCCAGAGCGCCATGTAGTCCGATGGGCGTTCAAGAGGAAGAGGCGCGGCCCTACTCCCCGACTGTCTCGACTGTGGCCGTTGCTTGGGGCAAGCTACCAGAGTTGCTTCCGTCGACCGAACCCCTTGACAGCCGTGGCGGCGCTGGGGGTGGGGATGGTAGTGGTGGATGGGACTCCTCAGGGGCAGCAATGGCGGCAGCAGCAGCAGAAACCATGGAGAAGGGCAGGAGTGAGAGCAAACTATTGACATTTCTGAGGAAAAATGCCTCTCCGTTCTTGAAAGTGGAGAAGACAGAGGCATTGGGAGCCTTTGCAGCGGTTCTGCAAGAGGTACGTGAATTGCACCTTTCGCAATGCCCTTTGTGTGCCCCACGGCGGCCACCGAACTGGTGGACATCCGCACGTGAGGAAAAAAGGTGCCGTGACACCCCAAATGACAGGAACAACCGCAACGTTAAAAAAGTGAGGCAGCAAGACGAAGAGAAAGATGACGATTGTGATGAGTATTTGGAGCTGGACGTCTTGGGGCGAACACACATCTTTATGGACGCCGAAAGGAAGTGCGGTGAGGGGCAGAAACAACAAAAAAAGAAACAGCTAGAAAACGGGAAATATATAGACTGTTCCCAAACATCTTTGACAAAGATGCATCAGCGGCTGTATGTCGAGGCAGTTGAATTTCTTGAACACGTCTACAGCCGCCGAGATCATCTTCACGCCACATGCCCTGTCATGTACGCTTTACGTCCAGAGGCACATTTGCTGCGGCGAGAATGTGCTGCCCTTGGTGGTATTGTCCTTCTTGAGGCTCTCTTGTTGGGTCTGTGAAACGACATTAAGAGAAGGAAGGGAAAGCAGAGAAAAAAAAGAAGCAGCGTGCAAATGCGAGTTAGATTTTGATTATCATTTTGTTGTTGTTGTTGTTTCCCCTCCTTTTGGTGGTGACTTTGCGCTTAACCTTTATTCCATGTGTGCGTGTATATATGATTTCCTTGTCTTTTTTTCGTGTGTGGATTTGCCCTTTTCAACCTCTTCTTTTCCTTAGCTGTGCTCCTCTCTGACGCGGGGTGGCAGAAGAGCAGGGTCAAAAAGGTGGTCCGTGCAAGAATGGGGCGAAAAGAAGAGATGTTGTCCGATGATGTGCAGGGACTAGGCAATTTGTTTGCCGCGGGCGATCAGGAAACAGAGGAGGTGTGCCCCATTGAGGAGATGCTTGTGGATCGCCTGCAGTTGAGTCGCGAGGGCACCACAACTGCGGGATTCACGCCACTTCTGGAGCACTTTGATAAAGGAACAGCCGCGCAGAAAAGGGGGGCGGAGGAACGTGCTGAGGGCAACCTCAGACCACTGAGAGTGTATTTCCGCAACAAGCGACATAGTCTCTGGGGCCACAGGCTATGGAATGCGGCGAAGTACATGGTGAAACGGATGGACAGTCGCATGATTGATGTGCGCGGCAAGACTGTGCTGGAGCTTGGCGCCGGGCTTGGAGTTCCGTCCCTCGCCGCTTTCCGCAACGGTGCACGTTGTGTGGTGGCAACGGACTACCCTGACGGCGACCTCCTTGAAATTCTGGAAATGAACGTGAAGGCAAACTGCAGGGCTGATATGATTGATGTCGATGCTGCGGCTTTCTTATTGCAAGAGGCAGAGCGGCTAAAATTGGCACAGGGGTGTGAAAAAAGCGGCGAAACGGTGTTTTCTGAGGCAGATCGTCAAAGGGCGCTAAGCACGCGCTGCGTCGTAGAGCCACTGCTGTGGGGCAAGCAGGAACACATCCAAAAGGTAATGTCATACACTGGTGGTGGTGGCTTTGATATTGTACTGCTTTCAGACATTCTCTTTAATCACGTCTGTAACGATGACCTCGCGGACACGATTGTACGTGTACTGCAACGTAGTCAACATGCCGCCGCATATTGTGTCTTCTCACACCACCGAGCGCATAAGCAGGTGGAGGACTTGGAGTTCTTTGACAAGTGTGTGGCACGTGGTCTGCGCTGTGAGCAGGTGGACGAAGAGAATTACCCCATGATGTTTCCCGATGACAGCGGCCCGGCGGAAATTCGGCAGCCTGTCAAAACGTATAAAATTGTTCATTATTTCGATGATGCCGGAATGGCGTTTCAGCCTGGAAATGACGTATTTGATGTTGTCATTCAGGGCACGGGGATGGTGGAGTCCATAGTGTCTGCGGCACTCGCTCGAAGCGGAATCCGCGTGCTTCACTGCGATGGTGAGGATGACTACGGTGGTGCCTTCAAGACCATGACGGTGGAACGAATGCGAGAGTACATTACAGGCCCCCTACCCGCATCGCTGGACGGTGCGGCCGACAACAGGGACGGGAGGGGTGACCACGAGGAGAACCATCCACGCTGCAACGACGGAGTCATTGCCGTGGACCGCATGGATGAACTCAAATTGGGTGAACGGCGTAGCTTTCTACTGGATCTGCTTCCAACGCATTACCTCTCGAATGGTGAAACTGTGCGTCAGCTAATTTCCTCTGATATGGCACGCCACATGGAATTTCAATGCTTCGGTGGCTTCTTCTTCATGATCCCGTCGAGTGAGGGTGGGATGCAGCTGCGAAGCATCCCTCTCTCCCGTGCGCAGGTTTTTGCTACAAATCATATGAGTCCTCTACAAAAGCGCCGTCTGATGAAATTCGTGAAGGACGTGGAGGCGCCACTTGCAGAACAGCTGCATGCTCTTACGGCGGATGTCGGGGACGATTCACTCTCAGAGGCTGCCTTGGAAAGGTCCCGCATTGCCTCCGAAGAGGCGAAACGTATGTTCGCACAGGAAATTCATGAACACCCCAACGAAACGTTATCTACCATGATTGAACGTAAGTATGGCATTAGTGGAGCCGCAATTGACATAGTGACACTCCTGCGACAGCTGGATACTCAACCTGTGGATGTGTTGCACTCTGTGGAGTTGGTGAGGCAAGTCCTTACTTCTGTTGGAGCCTTTGGGAGCATGACGCCTTTTATTCAGCCCGCCTACGGTACTAGTGAAATGCCGCAGAATATGTGTCGTGTTGCCGCAGTATGGGATGCCACCTTTGTGCTGCGACGTAGTCTACTTTTGCCCTGTTGTCATCGGGAGAAAAGTGCTGTGGATCGAAGCACGCCGTCGATTGAGATGAGCAACCGTCAGCGTGTAAAGACGAAGGTGGTATTGGTGCCCCGCACATTGGCCAGCCATTTCTTGGCGTCGTCATCATCGTCTTCTTCTTTTTCTCCTGCTCCCGCCGAAACACTGACGGTGACGGAGCATAATAATAATAACATTATTAACAATAAGGTGCGTTTCTCTCGCGTCATTATGGTTGCAACGACGCCGCTTGTCTCATGGACCGCACTGCGATCTGCCGGCTGCACGGATGACGAAGTGGCTGGAAAAGATGATACGATACAGTCGTTTCCGCCGCTCTTCCTTGCACTGTGTGAGGTACGGCCTGGTGTGGTGGTGCACATCCAGCAGGTGAGCGCCGCCTCGGAACAGGCACCAAACGATGGGAGTTCTGTTGTTGTGCATTTCACAGCAAATGCGCGGGAGATGGGCGCGGAGGAACTGCGCCAGTTTGTTTCGCAAACATTTGTGCGGTATGCTTCCTCTCCAGATGTTAATAACTGTCATTGGGTGGATTCGACGGCGTTGCTCTTTCTTGCCTCCTTCACCGTGAGGGAGGAAGTGGAGGCGCTGCGGGGTTTTGTCCGTCCCGTTGCAGTTGACGGGTCCGACGTCAGTGAGACACGCAAAGCCCACCCGTACGCCGTGGAGGAATACCGCAAGCGCCTGCGTAAACAGCGGCAGATATGTGGCGGGGACTCGGATGGTGGCGATTACTCTCCCATCATTTTGCCTGTGCAGACACTTTTTCCGAACCTTATTGACGATGGCGCGTATCTTCGGGCAGCACGGCAGTTGTATGACGAGGTGGTGAAGAGGCTGCAGCCACAAGAGGGCAGCGGTAAGACGTACACATTCCTCGAACGACTACCACCGATTTCCGGGCTGGAGTTGTGAGGGGAGCGGAGAGGAAATGGATAATAGGAAAGCGATGCTTCTCATGTGCTTCACATTTGGGGAGGTTCGCATCACTGGAGGACGCTGGAGTATGTAGGAAGGTCCGATTTGGTGGAAAAGCACAAACAGAAAAGGAATCAAAAACAAATAAAAAGAGAAAAAAAGAAGGAAGAGTCTATGGACACGATGGGAAGTGAAAGCCAGCAATAAATGAGAGGATAGAATAAATGAGGAAAGAAGACATACAGATATATGAGATATACATATATATATATATACATATACAGGAAAAAGGAATATTGTTGTACTCTTTTCTTGCGATGGTTTAACCTCTCGCTTTCATTCTGTCGGCATGGAATTGTGTGGAATAATTTGTCTGTGTCTTTCCTTGACTGCCGCTCCCTCTTTTTTATTATTTATTTCTCTCCTTGTTTGCGTATCCATCATTCTGGTGAAGTATATAACATTATACGTAGTGACAGTCGTGCGATGCTGTACGACCGGACAATCGCCAAGGCACTTTTAGCGCTCACTACATCCCTTTACGTTTATTATGTCCTTTGGATAGGGGTGACGCCATTTATTGACCCTTCACACTTCACACAACATTTGTTTCCACCGCGGGAATACGGTCTGCTGCTCGCGAGCGTTGTGATGACGGTAGGATTAGGCCTCGCTTTGACCGTGGCGTCCGTGCACACAATTCTGCGCACAGGCATGGAAGAAGAAGAACAGGGAGAAAGAGGAAGAGTACAATCTTGCAAACACAATGGCTGTGTGGAAAGATGAGGTGCGCAGGGCCTTTTTTTTTTTTTTTTTTTTTTTTTTTGACGTGTTGCGCATTTTGCATTTTTTGATGCATGGAGGGAGGGAGAGAAAAGAAAAGAAAAAAAAATTTTTTGTGAGGCATTGCATCTCTCTTTCCTGTCATTTTGGTTCCTAATTCAATTGCAGCGATATCCTTCCGTTTTGTTTTTTTGTTTTTTCCTGCTGTGTGTGTGTTTGAGGGGAATAGGGGTTTGGTACTCTTCGCGTCGGACGTCATGTGTTTTCTTTTTATTGCGTCGTCATTGTCTCCCACAGTTGTGCTTTTTTCTTGCGTGTATACGGTGCCGATTGTGGGCTCTCTGGAGTTCCTTCTCTTTTCTTCAGCCTCTCCCTCTCTCTCCCTCTCCCTCTGTGTGTACGGGTCTTGTTGCTTCTTGCATGCCGCTTTGCTCCTTTGTTTTTTGTTGTTGTTTTTTTGTTGGACGGACTCGGAAGACTCTGGTGGTTTCTCTCCGTGGAAGAGAAATAGAGAGAGAGAGAAGGAAAGAACATTTGCGACGATGTCAAGTTTGTTTCAGTCATACGTCTTGTGGGTTCGCGATAATGCGGAGAATGCGCTGAGTGTTGAACGTTTCACGCAGCTGGTAGTCAGGATTGTCACAGACCCGCGCAACTTCATTACCACAGAATTTGCGTGGACGCTGGCCAAACTTCACTCGCTTTCGAATAGGATGATCATCTCCACGGCTGGTAGGCGTGTTGGATTCACCGAGAAAGTAGCCATAGTCATCAAGACGCTGGTGGAAATTGAGTGTCTGCTGGAACTGGGACTTCGTCGCTTCTTTGGCCATGAGGCGGCATGGACTGTCTTGTTGGCGCTTCAGTCCATCAAGTGCGTTCTTAACATGCTTGTGCATCAGCAGCTGTTCCTTGTGCCGTGGATATGGGCTGCCGTGCGCCAGCGGCTGCAGCTGATGCTGCAACAATTCATGAGGCTTCCAGATTACGGCCGACGGATATCCTC